GATGAGCCGACCAGTCACATGTTGAGACTAGTTTCATGAGCACATTGAGCACGGCAAGTCTTAAGACTGTAAGTGAAGAGTGAGTAGTTGCATCAGTTAGGTTCAACATTCAGGACTTGGCAAGGGTGACGAGGCTTCTCCTGCGCTAAGTTGGTATCCATTGTTGGTGTTGCCATCTTCGTCCACTTCAAGTAATTTATACAATACAACTCTCCTCTCACCAGTCTCAAAGTTCAAGTACAAGTACGTTTACTGAGACCATAAAATACCTCTCAAGGGGATAGAATAGCTTAGGCTATTTCTACCTTAACGTCCCTCAAAGGGTAAAGTCCACTACGGGCTCACCTTAGCCCTTGCTACTTGCCCCGCTCCTGTGCCAGGTAAATTACGGGCTCACCGTAGCTCGTGCTACTTGGTACTTGTTCCGAGTAGCTGAATCTATAACAACAACAACAAGTCAAAGGGCGCACTAATCCAGTGAGTACAAAATCCACAAATCACATGTGAGATTGCAGATTAATATAGTAAACACAGCATTTAAGTGTTACACTCATGGAGCAAAATGATTGTAGCTCCTAAGTATACTGTCTATCTTACCATTATCACACATCCAAACAATTTGATGTGGTACACTACTTATTTTCTTATTTCTATAGTTATCAATAAGTTGACACTCTAACACATAATGTTCTAAGGTGTGGGCGTGCGGCATACTACATAATTTACACTCCTTATCTGGTTTCACTGACATCAACACCGTATTGCCAGATATATTTGTTTCCTTCTCTTAATCTCGTGTAAATTGAGTCCCTCCAAGTTGACTTTCTTCTACCATAAGTGAAGGATGAATTTGTATTTATTATTGCATAATTCTTAAGTGTGTTACTGCTGTCCACCATTGCCATTCTCTTAACTTTTTCTTCACCCTCTTGGATCATCTCCCTCTTGGATCATCTCCCTCTTGGATCATCTCCCTCTTAGATCATCTCCCTCTTGGATCATCTCCCTCTTGGATCATCTTGATTCTTGTCTTTATTTGTTTCAAATTTATCTGACATACAACATCGACAAGAGTTTTTTTCCGAGACTCTCTTGGCTATCTTATCAACTGCCTCATTCAGGGATTGAGTGGTTGGCTGCACTTTGAATCGCTTTGACAAATTCTTGTTCTTGACCAGGCTTGAAACTCTTAGACTGGAGACGGGTTTGCCCTCTCTACAAGAAAGAATATCACAAAGGACAGCTACAATTATCAGTAAGATAATTATTTCTTCTGATCCAATCCCAGTACGGCAGGCCTTGGTGGTTGGACTAGGCCAAAACAATGGAAACTCTTGGGTTGCAAGAGCAGGAAAAGTCGTAAACAGACTACATTTTAAAAGCATGATTCTTGATAGAGAGGGTGATCATCCACACCCAAATTACACTCCTTCCGCGCCGTGGGAAGAGCCTACTTTCAAAATAGTAATAGAAAGTCTCCCAATGAAAAAGGCTGCCTATGATCCGACAATCCTAAGGCGCATAATAGAAGAGCAAATGTATAGCATAGCAGTAGCAGGAGCCACCCACATCTTCACAGACGGATCGGTGGACACAGAATATGAGAGTGCTAGCGCTGCTCTTTGCACGACCAGCGTACAGGCATATTGGAGACTGGGAGGACTAGTATCATCAACCCAAACTGAGCTGTTTGCCATACAACAGGCATTCGCATATGTGATTGCACAAAACACTCAAAATGCAATCATACACACAGACTCAAAAGCTGCACTTCAAATACTAGGACAAAAACAGTGGAAAGATAATGTGGAAATAATTACCACCATTTTGTATCTTGGAGCACTCGCTAAAGGCAAAGGACTCAACATAACTTTCAACTGGATCCCATCCCATATTGGAATCCCATTAAATGAAAAAGCTGATGAAATTGCTAAATTGGCAACTCGTCATCCAGTGATACATAAAACAACTCAACCCAGCCTAGAGAACATAAAAAACATCATCACCAAAAAACTCTCACATCTCAACAAAGCCGACCTGCACCAGAGAATAGCTGAAGGTTCGCCATCTGCAACATGGTATCTTCAGGCAACCAAATTAGAAAGGTTAAATATCCCAAAAGGAATCCACAGGGAAATAGCAGTTAGGTTATATAGATTACGTCTAGGTTACAGATGCAACTGGGAGATTGGTGAACCCCGACAGAGAGAGTGCATCTTCTGCCAAACTGTCACAGAGGAGTCATTACTTCACTATCTTCTGGAATGTGAAGCAACCAATGACCTTAGAAGAGCTTTAAGAGTTCCTGAATCATGCAGTGGCCACCCTGAAGCCATCAACACAGCCACTCTCCTGGTCAACAAAGGTGTCCAGCAGCTGGACACCCTCATAAAGACTGTGAAGCAGTATCCTCCCCCACGATAACAGCTTGATGGTTAAAATGCAAACTCAGAATACTGAGAAAAAAAAATTGTACCACTTACGGGCTATTCATGCCCGTGCCACCTCTTGGGTGGCTTAATCTTCATCATCATCAGCCTCATTCAACAGTATTCCCACATGTGAAGGGATCCACATGAAACTTACTTTATACCCATTTTTTGCTAATGTCTTAACATTCTCTCTACACTCGACCACAATATTCTGATATACTGGTCGTCCGCTATTTAAAGACTCCAACGCTCCTCTGCTGTCTATAAAGAAACAGGAATTTTTTAACCACATTTGGCTACTTCCTGTAATCCTGCTAATACTCCTTGGAGTTCAGCCTGCGTTGAAGAGACATTGTCAGTTAAGCGGCGTCCAATAACAGTATCTACAGTGCCGATGTCAGTGTACTCCCTGATCAAGACTCCACATCCTGCCTTCCCATCCCTAGCTACTGACCCATCACAATATACATGTAGAGTGTCTTCTGTAGGCAGTTTTCTAATTATACAATCATATGTTGCCCTCAGCTCTCCTATTTCATACATACTTTTTTTATTTTGCAGGGGAATAATTACTACATCTACGTTACAATCCTCCCATGGTGGTGTGAATTGTCTCTTAGGCAAAGCAATACATTCTGGAATAACATCATGCTTTATAACAGAATATAAGATACTCATATGTTCTCTTATTATACTTTAACATACATTGTGCATTACTTCCCACCTTTTGAACTGAGAAGATTAATTCATTAGCTCCCACACCTCTCATTAATCTAAGGGCAGAGGCTACATTTATCTCTGAAATTCTATCCCCCAATACTCTGCAGATTCAACTCCATCCTCATTATCTCAATCATAGCATTTCTTGGGCATCCTAAGATAATTCTCATGGCTTCATTTTGAATCTTCCCCAACTTGTCAAGTCTTCCTTTACCAAAACAAGAAATGACAGGTGCAGCATAATCAATAAGAGATCTTACAGTACTCAAGTATATCATTCCTAGCACAGGGACTCCCACTCCGACGGGAGACATCTCCCGTCACGCAGGGTGCAGTCGCACCTCCACAGATCTCCAGTATCAGCTCTTGATACTGGTAATGGCTCAAAAGGGCCACCACTTACAGGCTATTCATGCCCGTGCCACCTCTTGGGTGGCTTCATCTTCATCTTAACACATTCACAAAGGAGACATCTCCCGTCATGCAGGGTGCATTCGCACCTCCACAGATCTCCAGTATCAGCTCTTGATACTTGTAATGGCTCAAAAGGGCCACCACTTACGGGCTATTCATGCCCGCGCCACCTTTTGGGTGGCTTAATCTTCATCAATCAATCAATCACTCCCACTCCCTTTCCACAGCATGCCAAGGACTTCAGAGGTTGTAATCTCTTCCGACATTGACCCTATAGTCTGTTCATCTCAGCTTCCAAACTCTCATGGGTTTGGAAGATATATGCCTAAACATATATGCCCAACATATGATATATGCCCAACATATATGCCTAATATTTATATATATTTACTCTCTATATTTTTACCGTTTATTTTCAATACAATGGGGCTCCGACTTCTACATTCAAACTTAGTTTTGTCTTCATTAACCACCAGTCCCATATGGTGACACAGGTTTCCGAAATTGCCCAACACTGTTTGAACCTTTGAAATATCTTTGCCCTGAAACAAAATATCATCGGTACATATGATCGGAGTTACCCCATTTGAGTATCTCTCAGATGCTATCTTATTCATTAGTACATTAAACAGGGTGGGACTCAACACTCCTCCCTGAGTGTGCCGAGTTCCAAAGTTCTCACACCTGACATACAACCTTGATACCACACCTGAGCCTTCCTTTCGTGAAGATAATCCCCTATCCCGCGCAATAATCTCCCTTTACCACCAAGACCAACTAGCTGGGGGGGGGGGGGGTGTTGAAATAGGCTAAGTTACTCTATCCCTTTGAGATGCATTTCTTTCTTGTCTCAATAAACATACTTGAACTTGAACCAGCTAGTTCATATAAGATAACTTCTTTGTCTTAGACAGCTTTCACGGTGTGACCTGACTGCCCATAAACGATCAATAATCATACGTTCAGGTTTCCTTTGAAACATCTGCAAGATGTTCGATCATTTTTTTCTAGAAATCAACGATTTTCATAAATTGTAATGTTGGTTGAAGAAACATCAACAGTGGACCACCTGGCCGCTTGATTGATGAAGATTAAGCCACCCAAAAGGTGTTACGGGAATGAATAGCCCGTAAGTGGTGGCCCTTTCGAGCCATTACCAGTATCAAGAGCTGATACTGGATATCTGTGGAGATGCGACTGCAGCCTGCGTGGCGGTAGATGTCTCCCTCGAGCCACCTGGCCATCATTGATGCCACTATATAACGAAATGGTTGGAAAGAAATTAAGTATTTCCGTCCCAAATTGGTAACTGTCACATACCTGGCCGAGCGGTGTTGTGGTACTCCGTGACGTCACGCGGACAACGCAGATCCGCACCCTGATTGGCTGGGTAAAAGTGTGAGGTGAAGCTGTAGTTAGAGAGGTGGAGCAGGTCACTGAGTGTGAGGGAGGCATGTGTTGTGAGGTGAGGCGCTGTCTAGCGCGTGTGAGGCAGGTTGATTCTTGTGTCCTAGTGAACAGTGTTGCGTCCCCCCAGTGTTGCGTCCCGCCAGTGTTGCGTCCTGCCAGTGTTGCGTCCCGCCAGTGTTGCGTCCCGCCAGTGTGTGAGGGTAAACAAACACGTGCGAGCTGACCCGGCAACGCTGAGGGAGATGAGAAACATGAGGAAGGTGTTGATGGTGATGTTGGTACACTTGATGAACCTGTGTTGCCCCTGGTGAGTTTACTGTATACCTGATGAGTCTGTGTTACCCCTGGTGAGTTTACTGTATACCTGATGAGTCTGTGTTGCCCCTGGTGAGTTTACTGTACACCTGTTGAGTCTGTGTTGCCCCTGGTGAGTTTACTGTACACCTGATGAGTCTGTGTTACCCCTGGTGAGTTTACTGTACACCTGTTGAGCCTGTGTTGCCCCTGGTGAGTTTACTGTACACCTGATGAGTCTGTGTTGCCCCTGGTGAGTTTACTGTACACCTGATGAGTCTGTGTTGCCCCTGGTGAGTTTACTGTACACCTGATGAGTCTGTGTTGCCCCTGGTGAGTTTACTGTACATCTGATGAGTCTGTGTTGCACCTGGTGAGTACTGTACATCTCATGAGTCTGTGTTGCCCATATTTATTCTGCTTGTTTACACATGTGCTTGCCTTGGCCACCTCTGTTTTGGGGCTCTGTGTTTATTGTCCTAAATTATACATTTCCGCATTCTTTCTTGATATTGTTCTCATCTTTCTCATTTTTGCTCTCGTTATTCATATTTATTCGTTATTCTATATTTACTATGTCATATTTACTCGTTATTCATATTACAGGTTGGCTTTTCAATATTACCATTGTTTTTGTGTTCGTCGACACACTGTCCTTCCACATTATTAATTTGGCTCTCTAAGCTCTCAGTCTCTGGCTTGTGTTCCGTGTTCATTGCTGTTTGTACACAAAATGCATATATTTCTGGAAGGCTACATTTACACAGAAGGTCATAGGGAGTGGGTGGGGGGTCAGGGAGTGGGCGGGGGTCAGGGAGTGGGTGGGGGTCTGGGAGTGGGTGGAGTTCTAGGAGTGGGTGGGAGCTCAGGGAATGGGTGGGGGCTTAGGGAGTGGGCGAGGGTCTGGGAGTGGGTCTAGGAGTGGGTGGGGGTCAGGGAGTGGGTGGGGGTCAGGGAGTGGGCGGGGGTCAGGGAGTGGGTGGGGGTCTAGGAGTGGGTGGGGGTCAGGGAGTGGGTGGGGGTCAGGGAGTGGGCGGGGGTCAGGAGTGGGCGAGGGTCTGGGAGTGGGTGGGGGTAAGGGAGTGGGCGTGGGTCAGGGAGTGGGCGGGGGTCAGGGAGTGGGTGGGGGTCTAGGAGTGGGTGGAGTTCTAGGAGTGGGTGGGGGTCAGGGAGTGGGTGGGGGTCAGGGAGTGGGCGGGGGTCAGGGAGTGGGTGGGGGTCTAGGAGTGGGCGTGGGTCAGGGAGTGGGCGTGGGTCAGGGAGTGGGCGGGGGTCAGGGAGTGGGTGGGGGTCAGGGAGTGGGCGTGGGTCAGGGAGTGGGCGGGGGTCAGGGAGTGGGTAGGGGTCGGGAGTGGGTGGGGGTCAGGGAGTGGGCGTGGGTCAGGGAGTGGGCGTGGGTCAGGGAGTGGGCGTGGGTCAGGGAGTGGGCGGGGGTCAGGGAGTGGGCGGGGGTCAGGGAGTGGGCGGGGGTCAGGGAGTGGGCGTGGGTCAGGGAGTGGGCGGGGTCAGGGAGTGGGTGGGGGTCAGGGAGTGGGTGGGGGTCAGGGAGTGGGAGTGGGCGGGGGTCAGGGAGTGGGCGTGGGTCAGGGAGTGGGTGGGGGTCAGGGAGTGGGCGTGGGTCAGGGAGTGGGCGTGGGTCAGGGAGTGGGCGGGGGTCAGGGAGTGGGCGGGGGTCAGGGAGTGGGCGGGGGTCTGGGAGTGGGAGGAGCCACTTTCGGAACACTTGTTCTGGTAGTGTTAGAACGTCAACAGTCGTGAGTCGTGTATAAACCGTTTTTCATACATAAACAGCTGGGGTTTGCAGCCCGTCCTCCAGACAAAGACCCAAAAGTGATTCCATGCCCGGACCAAGCCCCCTTTTAATGAATGAAAAACGGTTTACACACAGTCTCCGTGGTGTAGTGGTAAGACACTCGCCTGGCGTTCCGCGAGCGCTATGTCATGGGTTCGTATCCTGGCCGGGGAGGATTTACTGGGCACAATTCCTTAACTGTAGCCTCTGTTTAACGCAACAGTAAAATGTGTACTTGGATGAAAACACGATTCTTCGCGGCAGGGGATCGTATTCCAGGGACCTGCCCGAAACGCTACTCGTACTAGTGGCTGTACAAGAATGTAACAACTCTTGTATATATCTAAAAAAAACTGATTTCGTCCGAACACTTCCGGAACAAGTGCTTCACTGACGAATTCTGTTCGAACCACAACGCTGTAGATGTTCACCTACGTACTACAAATACAAATAATCATTAACAGAACCTAAACATCTAACCTAACCTATGCCTATATATACACACTATGTTATTATATTATAATATTAATATATATTTCAGAAAATTACCGTTTTGAACGAACAGCATGTTAAAATTTATGAATGCATCTGTGGGGTCGACCGCTGGATGTAATGGACTTGAGTCGAGGTCGAGTTGGGGTTTGGCGGGTACATGGCAACCCGTTCTCGCACTTTCTTATAGTCAATATTGACTTATTTAATACGTGCATATGTGACATACTAAACATACTAGTTTACCTTGAAAAGCGTCATAGAAAAAACCGACCTTACCTAACCTTCTTAGTATGTTAAGATAAGCATCTTATTGCTTCGTAATTACAATTAATACTTAACCTATACCTATAATAGGTTAAGTAATAATTGTAATTACGAAGCAATACGATGCTTATCTTAACATACTACGAAGGTTAGGTAAGGTCGGTGTTTTCTATGAAGCTTTTCAAGGTAAACTAGTATGTTTAGTATGCCACATATGCACGTATTTAATAAGTTAATATTGACTATACGAAAGTGCGAGAACGGGTTGTACATGGAGTCACTTTTGGGTTTTTGTGTGGAGGACGGGCTGCACAAACCCATACAGTACACAGTTATTAATCATATATTACATTTCACATTCCAATGGTAATCACATGAAATAGTGTGAGATCTCTTACTGATTATGCTGCACCTGTCTTGTCTTGTGTTGATAAAGACAGACTAAACAAGTTAGAGAAGGTACAAAATGAAGCCATGAGAATAATCCCAAGATTATAAATTACCTTCCACTTCTATTCGCAGTCCAGGTGAATGGAATCTCGAGAGTGTTCTCATGGCTCAAGAAATACTATTACTGAGATAATGATGATATGATTAAACTTACAAGGTATTGGGGCTAGAGTTTGAGATAATTGAAGCTTCGGCGATTAAGTTAATGAAAGGCGGGGGGCGCTAATGAATTAATCCTCTCAATTCAAAAGGTGGGAAGAAATGAATAATGCATGTGAAAGCATAATAGGATCCTTATGTTCTAATGTTACAGAGCATTGTGTCCGTCAATAATGTATTTAATTGCCAATGAAACAATTAACACCAACATGGTAGGAATACGATGTAGATGCAGTAACTTTTCCCTCTGCGTTCTCAGACTCTTAACTTTGCTGTGGTTTGTCAATTCACTGAGAAGTGACATCGCCTTGTCCACAGCTTCCCAATATTTAAATCCTTGAGAAGCAATATCGCCTTGTTCTCAGACTCCCAACATTTTGACATTTCTTCTTGCTTAATTAACACTTGTACACCACCTACTACAATCAAAGGTTCTTAACTATGTCTTCAACTTCAACAACTATTCTTAACCAGGTCTTCAAATTCTATTTTTGTAAACCATTTTTCCTGAGCTTCTCCGTCAACATTTTCCACCACACGGGGTTGAATCTTGCCATCACTAGTGAAGAGTTCATTTTGCCCAGACTCTTCCATCTGTAATACGCCATCCTCTTCCTTACTTTCTTCCCTCCTTAGTCTCATTCTCCACTTCACTCCCAACTACACTCCCCACTACACTCCCCACTTCACTCCCAACTACACTCCCCACTTTACTCCCAACTACACTCCCCACTTTACTCCCATCTACACTCCCCACTTCACTCCCAACTACACTCCCCACTTCACTCCCAACTACACTCCCCACTTCACTCCCCACTTCACTCCCAACTACACTCCCCACTTCACTCCCAACTACACTCCCCACTTCACTCCCAACTACACTCCCCACTTCACTTCCAACTACACTCCCAACTACACTCCCCCACTACACTCCCCACTACACTCCCCCACTACACTCCCCCCTACACTTCCCACTTCACTCCCAACTACACTCCCCACTTCACTCCCAACTACACTCCACACTTCACTCCCAACTACACTCCCCACTTCACTCCCAACTACACTCCCCACTTCACTCTTAACTACACTCCCAACTACACTCCCCACTTCACTCCCAACTACACTCTCCACTTCACTCCCCACTTCACTCCCAACTACACTCCCCACTTCACTCCCAACTACACTCCCCACTTCACTCTCAATTACACTCCCCACTTCACTCTCCACTTCACTCCCAACTGCACACCCCATTTCACTCCCAACTACACACCCCATTTCACTCCCAACTACACTCCCCACTTCACTCCCAACTACACTCCCCACTTCACTCCCAACTACACTCCCAACTACACTCCCCACTTCACTCCCAACTACACTCACCACTTCACTCCCAACTACACTCCCCACTTCACTCCCAACTACACTCACCACTTCACTCTCAAGTACACTCCCCACTTCATTCCCAACTGCTCACCCCACTTCACTCCCCATTTCACTCCCCACTACACTCCCCACTTCACTCCCCACTACACTCCCCACTTCACTCCCAACTACACTCCCCACTTCACTCCCCACTTCACTCCCAACTACACTCCCCACTTCACTCTCAACTACACTCCCCACTTCACTCCCCACTTCACTCCCACACTACACTCACTCCACTTCACTCCCAACTACACTCCCCACTTCACTCCCAACTACACTCCCCACTTCACTCCCAACTGCACACCCCACTTCACTCCCCACTTCACTCCCAACTACACTCCCCACTTCACTCCCAACTACACTCCCCACTTCACTCCCCACTACACTCCCCACTTCACTCTCAACTACACTCCCCACTTCACTCTCAA